AGAGAAGCGTCCTAGAAGATGAGCTTTGGTGAAAAGGTCGACGGTCTGATCAGCAGAGGTAACAAAGAGAACACGAACAGTGCCCTTAGTAACATGCTAGCGTATAAAGTGCCAATCTATCTCAATATACTTGGTGTGATCATGAAAGACATTATTATATGCAATCCGAATAGCACTCTGGTTGTCACAATAAAAATTGGTGGCAGCAAAATAAGAAACTCCCATATCAAAAGGAAACCAACTAAGCCACACAAGCTCTTGAGTAGTGTTAGCAATAGCACGATACTCAGTCTTGGTACTAGAACGAGCAACAAGAGTTTGTTTTTTACTGCGCCAGGTAATACGAGAGTTACCCAAGAAGAAACAGAACCCAGTAGTAGAATGACGGTTAGTAGGATCCCCTGCCTAATCTGCATCAAAAAATGCATGAAGCTGTAGAGAAGACTGTGCAGAGTAGTAAAGACTATGAAACAGAGTGCCTTTGAGATAACGCAAAATGTAAATCAGAGCATCATAATGTGAAGAACAGGGAGCAGCCATGAATTGACTGACAATGTGAACAACATAAGCAATATCTGGACCAGTAACCGTGAGATAGGCAAGACTGCCAACTAGCTGACGATATGTGGTGGCATCAGACAATAGGGAACCTTCAAGAGGTGTAAGACGAGTCTAAAGATCAACATGAGTAGTGGTAGTCTTGTAATCAGTAAGGCCAGCACAAGCCAAGAGATTAAAAGTATACTTGGGCTGGGTAAGAAAGTAACCAGATGAATCTTGAGAAATTTCTAAGCCAAGAAAGTAGCTAAGTAAACCTAAATCTTTCATCTCAAACTGGCGACGGAGAAACTGTTAGAGACTAGAAATACCCGCGGGGTCATCTCCAGTGATAATCATTTCATCCACATATAGGAGAAGGAGAATAGTACCACATTCTGTCTTGTGTACAAACAAGGCAAAATCATGGGTACTGGAGGAAAAACCAAAGTTACAAATGGTAGAGCTAAACTTGGCAAACCAAGCACACAGAGCTTGTTTCAAACCATACAAAGCACGACGAAGTTTTGTAGACTTTGTTTAATGGAATAGAAGAACCAGAAGGAGGCTACATATAAACTTCCTCAGTAAAATCACCATCGAGGAATGCATTCTTGACATCCATTTGATAAAGACTCCAATGGCGAGCAGCAGCCACTGCAAGTAAGTTGCGAACGGAAGTAAGACGAGCTACAGGAGCAAATGTTTCTTCATAGTCAATGCCATACTCTTGAGTAAACCCTCGGGTGACAATGCGAGCTTTGTAACGCTCAATGGAATCGTCAGAATGAGTTTTGAGCTTGTAAACCCATTTGCAACTAACAGTACACTTGTCAGGAGGAAGATTAACCACATCCTATGTATGAGTTTTATCGAAATTCTGTCATTTATCAGTCATAGCTTGTTGCCAAAGAGGGTTAGAATGAGTTTCTTGATAGAAAGTAGGTTCATGAGAGGAAAAGATAGTGGAACCAACAATATAATCACGAAAAAATAATAGAATCTATTCCTATTATACTTAGGACTCTTGTTATCTATTCCTATTATACTTAGGACTCTTGTATTCTTGTACACCTAGGTTTCCTATACACCTAGGTTTCTTGGCCTATATATTTAGGCTTCTCCTATTGTATTGATCAATTGAATATATACAAAGCATATTATTTTCTCTCTCTCTACTATTCTAACATAGTATCAGAGTTTAGGGTTTTCTCCTAACCTCCTCTTCTTATTCACCACATCTTTTTTCTCTTTTCTTTCTTTCTTGTCTGGCAGATTGATTCCTTGTCACGTTGGTTTTTGCGTATCTTGTCCTTTATTGTTTTGACAATTGGACTATATCATCATTTTTGTCTCTTCAAGACGAAGCCAACGCCATCTGCAACCACACGTGCCTCCACGCGCCGCCAGAAGATCAGAAACGCGTTATGTCATTTCTTACGCGCATTCACGCGCCTCTGATCCTGTCTCGCGCTATCTTGTGCCGCGGCCTCACCTGCTAACATGAGCCGCATGTTCTGACGTCATCGCTGACGTCAGCCCTGGTTTACTGTGCGCCGCTACTGTTTTTTGCTATTGTGCGTCGTGTGCACCTCTATTAACGTGCACTGTGTGTTTCTGACGTCAACCTTTATTGCTGTGACGTCAGCTTTAGCGTTGGTACCCCTAGTTGGTCAAATGACTTTGACCAGCCGCTTTGCTGCCTTTCTGGTCGTGTCTTTGGCCTGTTTAGACCATAACCCACCTATTTTCGGGCTCATGAATCCGATGGTGTGTTTTGTTTTGGCAAAATCAGCCTCTACAAAAGCACTATCTTATTTTTGTTACCCTATTTGAGCATTATGGATCGTACCGAGCACATCTACTATATTTTTGTTATCCTTGATAGGTCAAATTATGTTAGTTGGGTCCAAGCTCTCTGTAGCTTCATCAAAGGGAAACGCCTTTGGCGGATCATTACTGGTTCTCTTCCCAAACCCAACCAGAAAAGAGGATGTGATTGACTCTGTATTTGATGACCATCTTGACGAATGGGAAAGTAAGAATTATCAAATTATCACCTGGTTCCAAGCTACCTCAGTTCCCTCAATTCATCTCTAGTTTGGCCTATTCCAGGATGATGCTCAAATTACTTTTGAGGGACCATTATCAAATCACTGGCCATGCTCATCAATATCAACTGTTCTCTTCATCACATGCGCCAGGCACCCAATTAGTCTATCAATGAATTCTTATCCTAGATGTCGCTTGTTTGGGACTAGCTAGCTATTTCTGAGCCTATATGGGCATATTTTGAGGATGCACAACTATTTATTACTTATCGGAATCATCAGTGACTATTACAGTTCCTTATGGCTCTTTATAGCACTTTTGAGCCCGTACGTGCTTCATTGCTCCATCGTTTGCCCTTGCCCACTTTAGAACAAGCCATTACTGAACTATTATCAAAGAAGACTCATTTTGGAACTCTCAAATCTCAAAATATGGATTTTGTTCTTGCTATGCCATTATCACAAAGTTCCTCATCTTCACAATCCGTTAGTTTATGTTAGCATTGTCACAACCGTGGCCTGCTAGTTACTCATTCTTTTGTTCAGTGCCAGGTTCGCAAATGCTTTACTTACCATAAGACTGCTCCTGGTCATCTTCAACGCAATTGTCCTCAAGCCTCCTCCAATAAAGGGTCTTCTCGTTCTGGGTATCAGTCCAAATCTGGCCAAGGTTCTCACTCTGCTGCTATTGCCTCTGAGGGTTCTTCTACTCACCACTCCACTGATTCCGCTACTCCTTTATTCTCTATGGATGATGTTGAGTCCATCATCCAACAGGTGCTTGCCAAATCTGGTACTCCTCCCTTTACTGCTCTTTCAGTAACTTTAGGTAATTCTCCCTGATATTTTGATTCCGCATGCTGTAATCATATAACTTCTGATTCACTATGTTTTCTTCTATATCATCATCATTTTCTGTCCCCATCATACACATTGCCGATGGTTCTTAGATAACTGTCCGTCACACTGGTCACATTGCTACTTCTACTGTGTCTCTTTCTGATGCTTATCATATTCCTGCTCTTTACTTGAACCTTATCTTTGTTGGTCAGTTATGTGAACTTGGTCTAACCGTTACTTTTTCTGCTAATGGTTATTTGATGCATGACCCTCAGACGAAACAGATCCTTGGGATAGGCTATAAGCATGGACGTCAGTTTGAGCTTACCCATCTTTGCATTCTTCACAAATCATCTACTGCTGCTGTCCACACATCATCTACTGCTGCTCCCATTGCTTCCTCTGCTGCATCTACTTATGCCTTGTCTTCTTTACAGCTTTGGTATTGTTGCTTAGCACATGTCTCTTTCAGTCGTTTGAAAACTTTAGTTTCTAGTGATCAGTTAGGTCATGTCTGTCTTGAAGATGTCGATTGTTTATCTTGTCAAATTGTTAAACAACTTGCTTTATCTTTTAATAATAGTACTTTTATGTTTGCTGCCCCTTTTGATCTTGTGCATTCAAATATTTGGGAACCTTTCCCCACACCGACCAAGGGAGGGTCAAGATATTTTGTAATTTTTGTTGATGATTTTTCTTGTTATACTTGGTTTTTTCTTCTCAAAAATCGATCTGAACTTAAACTGATTTATTATGATTTATCTGCCATAATCCACACTCAGTTTTCACGTACTATTAAAATCTTTTGTTCTCATAATGCTAAATAGTACTTGGATTCTAAATTTTGATCTTTCGTTCGGGCTAATGGTACACTATCTCATCGTTTCGTGCAGGCATGTCCCAATAAAATGAACGAGCCAAAAGAAAACACCGTTGTTATATCCTAGACACTGGCCCCGTTTGGTAGAGCTGTGGGAAAGTAATTATAACTTATAGTTTAATAGCTTATAACTTATAACTGTGAATATAAGCTGATTTTTGACTTATAAATTAAGTTTCTCCTCCCCCACTCAAAGAATAAGTTAATTTTTGACTTACAAAAAGGTATAAGTTGTATTATTAAGCTGAACCAAACACATCAAAATAACATAAATTAAACTAAAAACTGAAATAAATTAGAAATAAACCTTACCAAAACAGGGCCACTCCGGGGCTCTTCTCATCTCATCTTTTTGTCCTGAACAATTTTGGAAGGAAGCTACCTCACTGCATCCATACCATAAATCGTCTACCTCCACCTGTCATAATAGCTAACACTTAAATAAAAAACAACAATGATTCATCCCACTAAAAACACCACCACTAATAGCACTAATGCATTAAAAACAAAAAAGTCAAAAAAGTCAAAAATCCAAAAAGCCCTTCCCAAACCAAGCTTTTTAGCCTAGGCTAAAATAGCCAAAAAAACCAAAAAGCCAAAAAGCCAACCCACTTCCCAAACAGAGGCTAAGCATTTTTCAATAAAAAATTGCCCGCCAAGCCAACTTGAGAATTAAAAATAGGGAGCAACTGCGAATGGTCCTACTCTCATGATCTGACCAACACCTATCTCTCTCTCTATATCTTTCGGCCGATTCAGACCTATACGATCTATATCTATATGTATATGCAACTCTTATCTGTATATACACTCTGTAGATACAACTATATACATACACGAAGTCAAAGGTTGCAGATTGGGAGTGAAAAGTGACACTCTATTCATGTCTGTGTTATTTGTCATTTGACTTCAATAAATTAGTGATTCGTTTGTTGATGTAGAGTTGTTTCAGTTTCTGTTTTCTTTCTATTTCTTTCTTTCTTTTTTTGTTGGTTGTTTCCATATCTGGGTATATATTGCTTTCCTTTCAGCTTTTGTTTTTGTGATATTTGAATGGAATTATGAGAAAATGTTAGCTTCTTTCTAGTAGTCTAAATGATTTCACTACTTGGTTGAAATCTATTATGGTTTATTGGAAATAAATTAGTGATTCGTTTGTTTTTGTTTGTTGATGTATAGTTGTTTCACTTTCTGTTTTTTTTGTTTTCTTGTTTTGGGTGTTTCCATATCTGGTAAAGTATATTTTGCCTTCCTTTTAGTTTTAATTTTTGTGTTTTTGTGATTTTTGAATGGAATTATGAGAAAATGTTAGCTCCTCTCTAATAGTCTAAGGCTGTGTTTGGTTGATGTATTTGGGTAGGGATTTGAAAAGGGAAAGGGAAAAACTGTGTGAAAGGTGTATAAAATGTAGAAATCTGCTTCATTGGAGTGTTTGTAAGATTTGGGTATGTGAAACTTCTCATACTTTGATGTTAATTCTACGACTTTCATTTTCTTTTTAATTAGTAATCTTGTGAAATATGACCTTTGTTTTAAACCAAAGTTATGCTGTTTTAGCATTCTTGGAGCATATTTGGGTATCCAGAGTTATACCGTGTTTGCTGTTAAGTAATTGTTTTATTAAAAAAATAACAATAAAAAATCTGTATAGCGTAACATATCAAGAGTTCCAGTATTTCAACTTAATTTGCCATATTTCCATAAATATTGAGTTGTGGTAAATTATTTGAAGATCTGTATTGTTTAGTTTTTCTCCCCAATATGATTTGTCTATTTAAGCCACGTCGGGGTAAAGTTTTCTTTGATAACTTTTATTAATCTATTCAATATTTTAGGAAAACTGTTGCTTTGTAAGAAACGTATTGAAGGGAACAATATGACTTAGACCATGTTTAGATTATGAATTTGGGTAGAGATTTGGAAATGAAAAGGAAAAGGTGGGGGAAATGTGAATGAAATATGAGCTTAGTTTTTTCTCCACTTCTCTTGTCTTTTCCTCTTCCTTTACTTTTTCAAATCCTTATCCAAATTCATGATTCAAGCACAGCCTTAAGGTTGATTGTTTCACTCTTGGAAATTTAAGGTAGCTTGGCATTGGAAGAATTCATCTTGGCAATACCAACATTCTCTATTCCAAACTGGTTATCGTTGGTTTTGCAATTAGGCATGGGCTGATCGATATTCCTATCCTTTGGCTGTGGTGTTATAGATGCTCATATTGTTAGCAATGTCAGACTTGTTTCCGTAGTTGGAGTTTTGAAGGTAAAAAAATTAGTGGTTTAAATCCTCAGGCAGTTAATGACATGGCCGATAGCCAAAACATGGCAATCTCATTAGAGTATTTAAAAATTAAAAGGTCAATATATGCTCGTGTCTTTGGGTTGCGTCCTTGTTCAGTTTGAGGATGGTTTATACTGTTATGAACTGTTCTTTATGTGCTACTTTTTATTTAATTTTTGTAAAAAACTTTGTCTGTGTCTGCATTGGTTTCTTTTCTTGGTTGATAGATTCAAACAAACTGGATAGAAGTTCATGTTTAATTGGATCCCAGGGGCTTTGTCGAATACCAGCTTTTCTAACTATCTAGTTGGGCTCATTCTCATGCCTTTTGAAATGAAAAAATTGGCCATGATTTTAATACTTGCTTTTGATCTGACTACATATTTTTCTTTCTAGAATCTAATCTACCATGAACTTATTCCAGTTGTATACAGGACCATCTCTGGATTTCCTGAAGTTGCATCATTTCGTTTTTATTTTGTTGAATTGTATTTTTGGAATCAACCATGAGTACATTTTTTTCTTTTTAGAATCTACCATGAGCTTATTCCAATTTTTGCTATCTCTGTCTCTTTTCATTTGCTTAAACCTATTTCTGTTTCTTTTTCTTCATACAGTAATTTAAAAGAAAAATTATGGAAGACAAGTGTGCAATTGCAAAAGATGTTACTGAGGCAAGTTTTTTCATCATCCGACAAACTTTCTTACTGGTTCCATGTTTCCTTGATTTTAAGTCACTTTAGCAGCTTTGTTTCTTAATCTACAGCTGATAGGAAATACCCCAATGGTATATCTCAACAACATTGTGGATGGTTGTGTAGCCCGCGTTGCCGCCAAGTTGGAGATGATGGAACCCTGCTCTAGCGTGAAAGACAGGTAGTCTCTTCATTCTTTTCTTTCTCTTTTCAATTTTTTTCCCAGTTCTATTTGTTAGTTTAGCATTTTGTTTAGAACTGAGCTATGTTGCAATACTGAAAATATGGATGATTTTTTTTTCTTAAATATGCTAACGAACATGATTTTTATTTTTTTTGGCACATAGGATTGGGTATAGTATGATTCAAGATGCAGAAGAGAAGGGCCTGATTACCCCTGGGAAGGTTAATTGAATTCCTACTATTGGACATATTTTGATAAAATTGTTACATTTTATACTATTTTCATCAAATACTAGAGCAAATTATCTTAAGCTTTAAACCTTAAATACAATTCTAAAATAATCTTACCCTTCCGATATTTGAATAAGGTTTAGCGTAATTATATTGAAATTATGGTTGTGTTTCAAAAGCAACCAAGCTTTGCTGTCAAAACGTAGTTTTCATATGAATACTCTGAATTGTAAAACATTTTGAACCGAGACATTTTTGTTGGTTTTGATTATGCTAATTTAATGGTGGCTGAAGACGGTTCTCATTGAGGCTACCAGTGGTAATACTGGCATTGGCTTGGCATTCATTGCAGCTGCTAAGGGCTACAGGCTTATTCTAGTTATGCCATCTTCATATAGTATTGAGAAAAGGATTGTTCTCCGAGCTTTTGGAGCAGAGTTGTACATCTCAGATATAACAAAAGGTATTGCTGGGGTTTTCCAAAAGGTTGAAGAGTTACTGGAAAGGACACCAAACGCTTTTTATCTGAGGCAATTTGAAAATCCTGCCAACCCAAAGGTACTATTTGAATCAATATATTGTAATGGGGATACCTATCCCAATAAAAAAAAGGAAGAAAATCTTGTAATATGGATAGATGGTAAGAAATTTTGCTCATGAGTTTGTCATTCTATAGATTCATTCCCTAAAAAAAAAAAAAAAAAAAAGAGGAAGAAAATCTTGTAATATGGATAGATGGTAGGAAATTTTGCTCATTAGTTTGTCATTCTATAGGTTCATTATGAAACCACTGGACCAGAGATTTGGAAGGGCTCTGAAGAGAAAGTTGATGCCTTAGTTGCTGGGATAGGGACTGGGGGCACTGTCACCGGTGCAGGGCAGTTCCTCAAGCAGAAGAATCCACATATAAAGGTTTTTTTCCCCATTGTCTGTGTGTGTGTGTGTGTGTGTGAGAGAGAGAGAGAGAGAGAGAGTTTCTTGCATCTCATTCATGTTCTTTTTGTTGGTGTTCTTTTGTTTACATTTAGGTCTATGGAGTAGAACCATCTGAAAGTGCTGTTCTGAATGGAGGAAAACCTGGTTAGTCATGCTGTGTTATGTGCATTAATTTTGGTGCTATTATTTAGCTGATTTCTTTCCGTGCTTGTGTAACACTGGTTCCTCTATACTTGGCACATGCTACGTCATTTAATTTCATTTTATCAAAATTTTCATTTTTCATAGAACATCTTTCTGTAGTCATTAGGTAACTATATCAAAATTATAACTTTCAAATGATAAAAAGTTAAAAAGAAAAAGAATTTAAATCCTTCATTTGGGAAGAAGCCAATCTGCTTCCACATGTATAAATGAGTTGGTACTATGACACTTTCTTTTAGAGTGCTAAGTGGGGGGAACATCAGTTCGCAGAGATTAATTTGAATTGAAACAATAATTTGAGAGAGTGATAGAGGATTGAGAGAGAGAGAAATAGCCACTGAATTATTCAGTTATTGTGTGTATTATTAGGAGATTTACACTCTCTTTTATAGAGAGGAAAAGCTACATAGGGTGCCACCAATTTGCACCGAAAGAAGAAAGTAAATGGGAACATTCATTATGACTAACACTAACTATCATATTCTAATAGCACTGATATACACTAACCTTTATACAATAATAAACTAACTAACACTAACATGATACAATAATAAACTAACATCACTAACCTTTATACAATAATAAACTAACACTAACATGATACAATAATAAACTAACATGAATTGTCATGAAATTTATCAATTAGCGTCATGTCAAGTTTCTAGGTGGTAGCATGTGTCCATGTATCATCAACAAGGTACCTAATCGGGAGAGAAGGGGAAGAAAGCAGAGCCTCTCTCTCTCTCTAGATTCTAGAGAGAGAAAGCTCCCCCCGGGGGTTATTCATGGTGGTGTGTTCTGGTGCAGTCCCGGCCAACTTGTTTAGCTCTTCCTCTCAATAATCTGAGTTGGAATGAGCATGTTTTCTGTGCGAGCTTAGTGTACACATTGTATTGACTTTTGACTATTGCTTTTAAGGGTATCTAATCTGAAAGTTCATTTGCTAGTGGGTTTTTAGATCGGTGATGATTTTCGAGGGCAATTGGTCGGAGGTAGTTGAGCACACAGATTGTTCTACGGTGATCTTCTTTTCCGTAGTTGGGTATCGGGTGTACTCCGTGGAAGTGGTTTCGCCGTTCTGGGAGTTGTGCAGCCGTAATTGTTGACTTTTGGTGAATAGTGTTAACTTTTTAACTTTTTGAGTAATTTTTTGACTTTTTAACTTTTTTTAAAGTCCCCAAACTTGGCCCTAATCTGAAAGTTCATTTGCTAGTGGGTTTTTAGATCGGTGATGATTTTCGAGGGCAATTGGTCGGAGGTAGTTGAGCACACAGATTGTTCTACGGTGATCTTCTTTTCCGTAGTTGGGTATCGGGTGTACTCCGTGGAAGTGGTTTCGCCGTTCATGGAGGTGTTTGTATTCCTTTCACTGTGGTGATTTTGCTGGGTGGTTAGTTCGCCGGCGGTGAGCTCGGTTTTCAATGGCTTATGGAGTTTGGAGGTTCTGGTGATGGTTCTGTCCTAGTATAGCCTCGCCGGAATTTTCTGGTTGTTTCCGGCACTATTTTACAGTGCTGGCAGCGTGTTCCCGGCGGTGGTATGGTGCTGTCTTCAAGTTTCTAGCGCGGACAGGTTGGTTTTAATTTTTTTTTGCCGCCGGAGATGTGTTTTTGTGTTGGTACGCTGGTCTCTGCACCTATGGCGGTTCTGTTGATCAGCGTGATGCCTGGTGGTCTACTAGCTTGCTGCCAGTGGTATTTATATCATCAGTGATATACTGGGTTGTGTTTACCGGCGATGGGTTACTGTTCCAGCGTCGGCTGTGTTGAGGATGTTGAGGCTCATCGCCGGGGTGGGTTTCACGCCATTGGCGAGTGGCCTTGTTTGTTGGTGACGCGTGGGTTATGTTTTCCTGCATTAAAAAATGACGATGGTATTGTGGAAAACAGTGGGCTGAATCAGCGGTTTTGCAGAGGTTCCGTGTAATGGGGGATTTGTCTGGGCTGAAGGTGATGTTTATATATATATATACTTGTTGTATATATTTGCTTAGTGGTTAACGTGTGAGTCCAATTTTTTGGAGTAAGGATGTTCGAGGAGTTTTTTTTTAAAATTTTTTTTTGAGTAGTGCATTATGTAATTGAAATTTAATGACAAGTTATTTTAATTTTTTAATATTAAATTTTAACAACACAATATATCATTTTAAAAAACTTTAAGAAAAAACACTTAAAGGATCTTGGTGATTTTTTGAGCATGCTGTGTGTTCTCTTTCTTGGGCCCACAAGTTTGTTTTGTTGGAGTAGCCGTTGAATTTGGTGGTAATATGATGTGAAGTGTGCGGTGTGGTGCCCATTTGATTTTTTTTGGGTTTGAAATCATTTCTGGGTTGTTTCACGTGGGTTGGATGATCATTAGTGTTGGGTTTTTTCTACAATGATTCATCTCGTTGAAAACATCACTACTAATAGCATTAATACATTAAAAAAAAATAAAAAAAAATACAACTCTAAAATCAAAACATGACATTATTAATGATGAGATCTACTGCCACCTAATTAGTGAAAGCACTAATTAGTGCTCCTAAATATTTTTCTTTTTTCTAAGCCCCACTATATGGATTGATTTGTGGGCTATATGTAATGGGTTGGGCCTATTGTTTTTATTGTTGATCTGCATGGGCTTGTGTTTGGTTGCATGAGCTTATTTTGGTGTGATTTCACACGGGGTGGGCCCACTGTTTCTATGGCAGGAAACTTTGTTGGTTTTAAATCGTCTGAGTTGTTTTGTTAAGTGGGCCACGACTTGTTTTAAGTGCTGATGTTAGCAGGCCATGATGTACTTCAACGATTATATATTTCGTGGGCCTTATGTTTTGCAACTACGTGTTTTTTTTTTTGTTATTAGGCCTCGTTTGGGAACACGTTAATTTAATAATTTTTTGGCTATTTGGTTAAAATATGAGCTAAAAAAAATTAGTATGTTTGGGATGACTTATATATCATTTTAAAAAACTTTAAGAAAAAACACTTAAAGGATCTTGGTGATTTTTTGAGCATGCTGTGTGTTCTCTTTCTTGGGCCCACAAGTTTGTTTTGTTGGAGTAGCCGTTGAATTTGGTGGTAATATGATGTGAAGTGTGCGGTGTGGTGCCCATTTGATTTTTTTTGGGTTTGAAATCATTTCTGGGTTGTTTCACGTGGGTTGGATGATCATTAGTGTTGGGTTTTTTCTACAATGATTCATCTCTCGTTAAAAACATCACCACTAATAACATTAATACATTAAAAAAAAAAAAAAATACCTAAGCATTAATACATCACCACTAATAGCATTAATACATTAAAAAAAAAAAAATATAACTCTAAGATCAAAACATCACATTATTAATGATGGGACCTACTGCCACCTAATTAGTGAGAGCATTAGTACTCCTAAATATTTTTCTTTTTTCTAAGCCCGGATTGATTTGTGGGCTATATGTAATGGGTTGGGCCTATTGTTTTTATTGTTGATCTGCATGGGCTTGTGTTTGGTTGCATGAGCTTATTTTGGTGTGATTTCACACGGGGTGGGCCCACTGTTTCTATGGCAGGAAACTTTGTTGGTTTTAAATCGTCTGAGTTGTTTTGTTAAGTGGGCCACGACTTGTTTTAAGTGCTGATGTTAGCAGGCCATGATGTACTTCAACGATTATATATTTCGTGGGCCTTATGTTTTGCAACTACGTGTTTTTTTTTTTGTTATTAGGCCTCGTTTGGGAACACGTTAATTTAATAATTTTTTGGCTATTTGGTTAAAATATGAGCTAAAAAAAATTAGTATGTTTGGGATGACTTTTGGGTTTTTTACGAAAAGATGTGCAAAAAGTAAAGAAAAAAGAGAATCTTTGACTTTTTGGTATGGATTGTTGGCTTTTTGGCTAATTTAGTAGCTTTTTTACTTTTTGAAAAAAAAGGAGGATTCCCAAACGAGGCCTAAATTTATTTAGCCCATGGATTCTGCTGTCTACTATCTTGAGTCTTTTGTTATTTGGTTAATATCTGTACATATTCATGTGATTTGGCTTAGAGTAGTTCTCTTACCTGTTCTGGTGTGGAGTGAGAGGGACACCGCCATGGGGAATTGAGGTGTGGAATTTGCCATTGCTAGAACTAGGAGATGCATGGTGAGTTAATTGAATTTGATTGGCCCTTTTGTGTGGACAACATTTTGCATGGGCTGTGCTTCTATGCTGTTGATAAATCCAAGTGGGTGAGTGGTTTTTTGTTTTGGTAATTTGTGGACCTATATGAGGTTTTATGGTATTTTGTTTCAACCATGGCGCAACAGTATATGTTTATTACAGCGGTTTATTGTGGTGTTTGATCACGTGATCTTCCTGTGACCTTATATGACGTTGGTATTGATCCATCTCTGCCAAGAGTGATTGGGGAGTCGCTGCTATGGGGAATGGTGGTTTAATGGCTAACTGAGTTAGGGGTTGGGAGATAAGCGGCCTACTGGTTTTTCTGGTTACCTCTTGTCTTCATGTGACCCATCCTGATTAATTGTACGCCATTCCTACCATGGAGTGAAGGGGACATTGCTGTGGGGATTGAGGCCTGTGGTCAACTTAGGAAGGGACTGGGGGATGTGGTGGTTATTCTCATGATGGGATCGTTGTCGACTTTGTCTGTTGTTGTGGTGGTTAATGTTTTGCACTAAACTTCTCAAGACCGTTGATTATGGTGATTGACTATGCAGGCTTCATGTGACTCAGCTAGATCTTTCATGGGATAGACATTTTCCTTCGTCATGGCTTTGGTTGAGTGGCTACGATGTCACGGCTATGAGAAGCGAGATGCTTATTGGATTCCATGTTTTCATCCGTGGTAGAGACTGGGAGCAAGCGGGGGCAGTTATCATTTTTCGATTGGTCTTGTTGGGTGTTTAGTTAGTTACATTTGTATTGTGTGTTTGTTTGTTATGTTTTATGAGTCTGTGGTGTGTTTTTGTTTTTTTGCCCAGATATCCACCCCAAGTTTCCATCTATTATCTCTGATGGTAGGGGTCACTTGGGGACAAAAAGGATATATGGGCAAAGTGGGGTTCTTTTTTTTTTTTTTTTTTCTGTTGTTCTCCCGCTTTTGCGAGGGTGGTTTTTTGTTGTAGGATGTCCAGTGGTAGTTTTATGTTGCTTTTTTTGTAGTCATTTATTATTGGTTGTAGGGCGTACTTGGGGTATGCCCCTTGTAAACTTGTACATTTTACTGTCTTTATTTTATGACTTACTTACCCAAAAAACAAAACAAAAAAAGGTACCTAATCGGTCTAGTTTCTCTTTTTACTGTTTGTTCACACTGGTTAAGTTCTAAGCAAGCTGAGCTTTACCAATTATTTAACATTCCAATCTTTAGCAGCACTAAGCTTGGCACTAAGCTATTGAAAACAGGAGGCGTTTGTTTTGCAGCCATCACAACATGCCTCTCAATGGGCTTGCAAAAATATCTTTGTATAAGCAAATGTATGAGAACTTCAGAAAGTTTGTGGAGTATGATAGTTAAATATTGAAGATGCTTTTGTTCACCAATAGCCACAATTTAAAAAATGGAACTTCTAAATTTGTTTAGATCAACTTTTCAAATCGGATGTACAAATTATATTGTAGGGTTTCTTATATGAAAAATATAGAAGCAGCTAAGTTATATTGACGTGGATAGGTTTGTCAGCTACAGAGCTACTTCTAGGTGTTGGAGATGTCAAATTTCCAAACAGTAGAATGTGGGACATGAATGCATACTCATATTCCTGTATGCCCAGAAAAAGTAAAATGTCCTTGTAGGGTGTTTGATATAGGTTATTCCACTGAGCTTGATATAATGGAGGAAGCAGATTAAGGAAGTTTTTGCTGGGAATCTCTTCTGAACTAACATTTTGGATGTTATGCTGCTTTATATCAAATCCTACTGGGTACATTTCCAGCTGTAGAAATTTTGGAATTGTGCACATAACCATGTTGAGTTGTGTATCGTGCATACATTTTGAAGTGTTCATCTATCATCATACACCAGCACCATTTTTTGCCAAGCTAACAAATTGGATTGCATAGGCTCAAAAGAACACATCCGTTCTTGGTTAACCCATCTTGAACATGTTCATAAGGTGCTTACTTGATCATGAGTCAATTCCGAATTTGATTCAACCACACTACACTCACCCTCGCAAGTGCATTAGTGATGGCATAATAGAATCTAGCTTTTATTGCTTATGCCTTGGGCAATTCTTTTTTTTTTCATTTATTTGTATGATGATGTACTTTCTGCCTTTCAGTATATATTACTATTTCTCTTTTAAAAAATGTATGTACTATTTCATATCACCACCTGTTACTTGAGTGGTTTCTCTTGCCACCCCCAAAGGGGAAGGTGCATGATTCGCTCTCATGGTTGAGAGTCGAGAAAATAGTAAATGTATCTCACTAATAGAAAGAAAAGTTACCATCTCTGATGTGGAATGTGCATACATGGATAATTGTCTTTAGTATTTATTATTTTATTTATTTTTCTTTTTTAATTTTAGTTTAATTAAGAGTCTTCTTTTAGTTAGGAGTTTTATTAATATTTGCTTCATTTTCTGTAAGGATTTAGTTTCCTAAGTTAATTAAATTTTATTAGGAGTCTAGATTATGATTTAGTTTCCTATTTTGATTAGGTTTTCAAGCCTATATTTGCATTGTAATAGTTATTTTTGAATAATAAGGATTTAAGTGTTTTAGGTTGTGGCGATTGTGTTAGGGCTGTGGTCCTCTATTTCCTCCCCTCTCTTTCTTCTCTTTCTCTAAAGAGTTCTACATTAATAATTCTGTTTGGATGGAATTTTGTTTTTGACACACGTTTTCTTGGTAACTTGGTCAATCAATATTATTAGTAATGTTGTTCTTTTGTCATATCATGTGCAGTAGTGATTTTTTTCTTGTCTTTCTCAATTTTCTTTTTCTTGTGAATGTGATGTTTATTAACAATTAAAATTGACTTTTAAATTTATTTATTTTCTCTTGATCAAGCGGTTCTAATGGATAAATTTCTCTTACATTGTCGGTTTCGTAATGGGATGCTTTGCTTTCATGTTGAAGGTCCGCACATGATCCAAGGAATAGGTGCTGGTATCATCCCTAGTATTTTGGATGTCAACATTCTTGATGAAGTTGTTACAGTAAGCCTTGACGTTTTAACATTGGGCATTTAGTTTAATTGATATGTGAAATTTCTTGCTGGTGCTCACCCCGACTCCGAGCTCAATCCATTAAGCGGATATGTTGGAATTGGATCCTTAATCATATGTAGGGTATGAATTATGTTAACAAATTTCTTTTTTTTATTTATTAACCTCAGTGCTTTTGTAATGTTTCAGGTATCTAGTGAAGAATCTATTGAAACTGCTAAGCTTCTTGCACTGAAAGAAGGTTTGCTGGTATATGCCTCCTACTTAATCAAGATCACTTGTAACGGTCTCATATGCATTTCTATCACTGCATTCTTGTGGTTATCACTGATGTAGTTCCCAAATTCCTATCTGAATTAGGTATAGGAACACAGAAATTGATCATAAAATCAGAAACAAAATGTATATGGATAAGCAAGATTTTTTAGAATTGGCTGCTGCCTTGTCGTTGCTTGCCTTTGTAAGAATACAATTTTTGACCATGTTTTTGGAAACATGATTTGCAGGTAGGGATTTCATCAGGGGCTGCTGCTGCTGCTGCAATAAAGATAGCAAAGAGGCCAGAAAATGCCGGAAAACTCATTGTTGTAAGTTGCTGTGAATTGATCTTTTTTAATAACTACATCAGAATCCTTTGGTGATACTTCAGGCAACAACTAAGGTTTCGTTTGGATATATAAATTTTAAATGAAATGATTTGAGGTTAAATTTTACCCAGTGAGATGTGTATTAGTGCTTAAATAGTTTGACTGACAAATGAGTAAACTGGTTTAGGAGCATTTGTAATTTTAATCCTGATTTGGATCAATCTTGTTGGGAAATATGTTCTGCCAAAGGAAAGGAAAAGGTTACTTTCGGATCAGGGATAATAAATAAAATTGAAACAAGACAAAATTGGCATCACTGAAATGATCGAAACCATATTCATAGGCCGGTAAATTTTCTAGTTAGATCGAACTAGTGGAAGCAAATGGACAAAGGAATAGAGTGAGATCAAAGAAACTGGCAGACTGATCATTAAATAATTTCAAATAGGTGCAAATTTTGGCATCATCCGAAAATCTATTATCCCTTCTTTTTACTTCATGGAAAAAAGGGTATTACATGAATCTGATTTTTCTCAAGCCTAGTGTGTGTTTTGCATTTCTATAGAAAGACAGAACCGGAGGTTGTGATTAGTGGACAGCTAACTTTAGTATTATTAATCATATGAATGTTATTTTTTGCACTTTTCTTTTCTTTATTTTTTATTTTTTAAGAAACTACTGAAAATTTTCATATATTTTTCTTACTGTCAGGTTATTTTCCCAAGCTTTGGAGAGCGTTATCTGTCAACAATACTTTTTGACTCCTTTAGGCATGAGGCAGAAAACATGGCTATTGAATGAGATTTATTTCTCCTTTCTGCTGAGCTTTTTTTTTTTATTATTATTATTATTATTATTTTTTTTTAACGAAAGTCGAGTTCTTTGGAATCATTTAAGAAATTTGGAAAGAATTTGGGTTTGTTAAAAAAAGAACAAATCTTGTATGCTGTTTCTGTACTTTTTGTATTGTCGTATGAACTGAATTTGTAACTAATTGATTGTTTTTCTTGCTGTTTCTGTACTTTGGGTGACATTATTGTTTGGCAGTGGCTTTGGTCCAGTCTAAGATCGAATTGGACCGTGCTGTTGGGTCCGTGGGGGCCTATCACAGGTTCCGTTTTGATAATCCGAACCGTTCAATGTGTAGAACTCGTCGAGTACTATATGTCTGTAAAAAATCACGTTGATCGGATATCGATAGCTATGTGAACAAAACAGTTTTTTATCAACTGTTAATTTTTTCACCGTCTATTTTTTTTTATACAAAACTGATTTGATCACATAGATATTGATATCCGATCAACGTGATTTTTTACAAACATGTAGTACTTGATAAGTTCTACACATTGAACGGTTCGGATTATCAAAATGGGCCAAAAAATGGCCCCATGGACTGAACTGGACGGGTCCAGTCTTTATCTCAACTTGAGACAAGCTGGACCCTTATTGTTTTTCTTGCTGGAATAACTCTAGAAAAGATTGATATAAATAAATCTTCAAGCTAGTTTTTCAAGCTTTTTTCCAATTTATCTTACAGTGACAACAGTTTGTTGAAAATTGAAAAAAAGACCAAAACAATAAAATGTTTCTAACATTATTCTAAAAGAGATAGGAATTCATTAATTTGAAATGAAATATAAAATATAAACTAAAGTTCATAGATTGAAATGAGATAGGAATTCATTAATTCATTATAACCTCAAGTCATGAGGTTGAGCATTGGATTTGATTGAGACACGAATTCATTAATTCATTAATCCATAGTTTGAAATGAGATAGGCATTCATAAGGCTGAGCATTGAATTCATAAGCTGTACTCATCACAGTTTTTTTTTTTTTTTTGAATGTATTCACAGAGCAAGAGGAAAAAGAGGAAAAAGAACAAGCCAATAAACATAACAAGCCAATGCATTCACAGATTTTTTTCAATTGGTATCTCAATGCATTTTAAAGAGGAAAAATTCTATCAAAAAGTCACAATCTTTCAATAGTTCAATATGTCAATTTTTCTATGGGATTGAACCAATTACATATATACTTATAGCTTTTAAGACCCAAAAAGAAATAGGACAAATTACATATACACCCCTCGAGGTTTGGTAAAATTACAGATACCCCCCTGAGGTTTCGGAAATTACATCCCGCCCCCTGAGGTTTGTATTTTCATAACAATTTACCCCCTGAGGTTTATATTTCATAACAAATTACCCGATTTATTCAAAGCAATATGCAACCAATAAAAACCCTAAACCATAGCGAATGTTTTACCTAAAACATAAGAGAAAGCAAACTCCAAGAATTTTATTATGTTTTGTGGTTCTCTACAGTTTATTTCTCAATCTGAAATTGAAAAAAAAAAAGAAACAACATTCATATAATAGAAAATCAAGAGGAACAATAGAAAAGAAGGAAACTATATTTTAAATATGGGAAAATATAAAAGGAAAACAAAAAACAACAACAATTGCAAACATCACCCAAACAAAGACAGAAAAACAAATTCTATGTACATCAAATTGAAAACCAACAAACATCAACTCATAAGAAAATCAAGTGGAGAGGAAACACAACTCTTAGAAGCAAATAGAAAGCAGTAAGGGTGAGCATGGTTCAGTTTGATTCAGTTATAACCATCATCCATTTTTGCACATGAATAACATTGGAAGTATATGGTGTTACTAAAATGTTCGTGTAGAAGTGAGTTGTGTGCTTTTAATAATAATAATAACAATAACAATAATAACAACAACAACAACAAATCAAAGGAAGAGCAAGAAATCCTGAACCACTTTCAGCAATCTAACAATTAGAAACTTGAGACTTGCAGGATCAAATTTGACCTAACACATATTTGCGACTAGCCTTGGATTTGGAGAATTGGGAATACAAATGATTATATACAAATACAGTTGCAAGAACAAAGCAACACAAATCAACAGATGAGAGAGAGAGAGAGAGAGAGAGAGAGAGAGTACCACATGAGGCCGTGGGTCGGGCGAGACGACGAGTAAGGGGAAAGACAAATATAAGATTTTTTAGGGTTTTTTTTCCCCCCTATCATCAAGAAATTAAAAGGGGGCATATACTTTTACAAAAAAAATGGGTTTGAGAACGGAGATTTGAGAGTGAGAAGTCATAGAAAGACCTGATCAGAGTGGTGTTTGTGACAAAGGGTTCAAGAAAGAGGCAAGAAGAGCCAGATCGATGTGTATATATATATATATATCTATATATAACATACAAAGGGCATGAAATCTTACATTTTTTGTGTTGATCAACGGAAAATAAGGGGAATAATTGACTGCGATCTTGGAGATGTGGAGGAGTTTGTCGGTCACCAGAGAGGAGAGGAGAGGAGAGGAGAGGAGAAGAGGAGAGGAGAGTGTTAGGGCAACTGAGAAGAGGGTATATATAATGGCAGTTTCGTAATTTCCTGAATTTTGGAGAGGTATTTAAGTCATTTCAGCCCCCTTTACCAGCTGTGCACATAAGTCATTTTTTATAAGCAACCCCTAAGTTGTTTTCCAAAATAAGCTGAAAATGACATAAATTAAGTTATAATCTGATGAATTAAGCTACACTAGATACAATATTTAGTTTAAATTAAGCTAAAAGTTAAAATAAATAGCTTTTAAGTTGTACCAAATAGGTTCTATTTATGGTTATGTCAAACATATTTTTAAATTATTAGTATGAAATATATGTAATTTTGAAAGAAAATGTTGACATTTCATAATTAAAGTAATAAAAATAATTATTTATTACATTTGTTCAAAATTTACTGAATAAATAAAATATATTATAACTAAAATCTAAATTGTTGTGGTTCTTCAATCAGCATTCTTACATTGTCAACATGATAGTTAGTATTATAATTGATGAACAACACATATATTATATATTTATAAAATGTTATACTTACATATTATATATATATTGTAAATGTATAAATATTCTTCAGACCAATCTATATTTAAAACAAAGGTTACACACGGTGTACAATCTAATTGATGTTGCATTGTTGGTATAAGTATGATAAATGAATAGACACAGTCTTGGCATGACGCAATATAATCTTTAATCATTCTAACTCTATTATCTTGTAAAATTTTGGAATTATAACATTGTGTTTGAAAAGGTAGGGAAAAATTATTTATAATAAATTGTATAGTTCCCTACCTTTGATCTCATATTCTTCAAATATGCTGGTTGACATCGCAAGATAAACTCTACCCGTTTATCTTGAACAGTGAAATTTATTGAACCAATATTGTTTTTGACCACAATGTTAACATTGTATCTAATAAAAAAAAACACTTGTTAAAAGAAAATATTGCATTTAATAAAAAATTAAAACACTTATTAAGTTTGAATTATTATTGTACATAGTAATTATTTATGTAAAGGAAATTACCTCATTATATCATATACGCAGTGACGACAAATAATGTGACCATAATGATATTCAACTTTTTGATAGTAACTTTGGTACAAATCAATCCAAAGGTTGTCAACATCAATTTGTTCGATGTACCACGTATTCGAAAATATGAAACTTAAAAAATATTTGAAAAAACATAAATTAATCTCTCTTTATAAACGAATATATATATACATATCGTTTAACATTCATTAATTGTGATAATAACTGTGTAGGTGTGTTTGAATGAAGATTATAACTTACAGACTTTGAAGATTGTGTTGGAATGAAAATTGTAACTGTGAAGTGTCAACCTTCTATCCTATAAAAAAAAGTTATTGTAATAAATCTGGAATGAATATTTAATAAATTATAAAGTATAAAATAAAAGCAGAAAAATAAAAATACACAAATATCTCTATTGGTACCCATTTATTTTTAACAGAAAAATAGAAGCACGCAAATAATCCTAGGCATAATATGGGTGATATGGTAGTTAGTATTTATATTGTGAAATAGAAGGTTAAATAATATATTACTTGACTCAATAAGTTTTTTAAAAACACAGAGATTGTCACAATTCACATAATTTTTTCCCCCTGATCATGTGATCGAAACAGAGTGTACAAAAATTCAATCACAAATTAAGTAAATTGATAGTTAAAAAATATTTTTTTTGTTCAAAAAACATAGTGAGTTAAAGACCCAATTACAATTTTTTTTTTTTTTGCAAGACAACATACAATCTAATCATAAAAAAATATAGAGATTGTCACAACCCAAACAAATTTTTTTTTCCGCATCATGTGATTGAAATGGAGTGTAAAAAACACAATCAGTTGATAGTTAAAAAACACAATCACAAATATAATGAGTTAAAAATCTAATCAAAAATTAATTACAAATTTTTTTAATTGATATTTTTAAAATACAAATTTTTTCTTTAAAAAACACAATGAGTTAAAAAATCTAATTAGTTTAAAAATATAATCACGATATTAAAAAATAAATGAAAAAATTACTTACAGACTTTGAAGATTATAACTGTGAAGGTGTCAATATTTTTCCCCAGATTCTATCCAACTATCTCTCTCCCAAACTTTCTCTTTATATAAAAAAGGCTGGGACAATAGGCTTAGAGTGAAGAAGGTTGTGGAAGTGAAGAAGGTTGCGGAAGCGAAGATTTTGAAAGGCTCAAATTAAATGATAAATTTAATTTTTTTTTTTAAAAAAAAAATTAAAAAATTAGGATAAGTCAAGAAGGCTGTGCAATATGATAAGTCAAGAAAGCTGGCAGTAGGGTTTAGGTTTTTAAATTTCGAAAAGGCTCAAACTAAATGGTGGGCAAATATATATATATATATATTTTTTAAATAAAAAATTTATAAAATTAAGATTGAGATATTAGAACTTTTTAAGATTTGTGAGTTATAAAACTCATTTTTCTTATATAATGTATAGATAGATAGATTGTGATTTTAACTTCTTTCAAGTGACTAGTATATTCTCACAATCATTAGTCACGATAATAAGTTTACAGACACAAAACTAATTATAAAAAACAGAAGTGGAAAATTTGAGTGGCGAGTCCACCGT